ATATGACTAAATGTGGTTTGGCAACTGTTAGTTCCTGTCAGTGATCTTTGTGTTTACGCTCTGATGACAGGGAAGAAAAAATTTCATTTGTACTGAGCAATTATTTGCACGCACAATTGTTATTTGTTTTAACTCAGAGCGTGAAACAAATATTCTGCCATTTGGATTTCTGTTCGACACGTTTTACAGGGACTCAACTACATATTAAAAGCAGGATCTGCATTGATAGGTAAGATAAATTTATTGCATTCTAGACACACAGGTTCCAGAGTTTGTGATTAGTGGAATATAACAAGTGAACTACAAAGTTCTCCATTTCATTCGTGATACTTGTGCAGGTAAGTCCCAGTTTTCTGTTTTCGTCATTTTTTTTCTTCTTAATTCTGCTCTTGAACAGCAAATGAAACCGGACTAAAAAAAAAAAAATTAAGTATATCATACTGATTATAAGGGGTATGTCCCAATCCTCATAAATACAGTGGAATATACTGTCTGGGGGATTCACCACTAGTTCATAGTGCGTGAATTATTATACCCAGACAGGGCTATGCCAAAGAGCATTATTACAGGGTCTACAGGGAATTTTTGCCTGAGCCTATGGGCTCAGAAAGCCCCATCTAAAATAACTGGCCTTGTACCACGTCTTGCCTTGTGGGGAGTCAGGTTAATTTAGAAATGTTTCTTTTTTTTAGAAAATCTTGGTAAAAATATTTTTTGTTTTACATCTGTTAACTCGTAGTTAATTTCATGAAATTTTAAGAAATTCATTTTTCTAGTGCTTAATGTTTATATTAATTATAAGCACAAGTCTTTGGAGAATTTAAATCATTTTTATAAAACAGGACCCTCCCCCCAGTAACAATATTGCAAACTATAGCATCTGAAGAAGGTTGATGTATACAATGGTCAAAACATTGTAAATATGACAATAATATAGTGTAAATAACTAAGACATTGTTTAATTGAAAAAGCTTTAATTGGTTTTATGAATAAGATATATTATGGACACTATTGTTTTGAGAAAAAGATTTTTTAATGAAATTTTACAAAAATTGTTTTCATTTTTTTTAAAATTTTAATGATAATAATTTATAAAGTTTTAAATCTTTTAAAATTCTGTTTTAATTTATAGCAGTTACATGATATTGTTATTAAGTCAAAACTTATTTACTAATGATAAATGTAAAAGCTTACTACAATTCAATGAGCATTAGTATTTTAGAGAGAATTTGGAATTTATTTTATGTGTGCATAAACATGCCAACTTTTGTAAATACAGTCATCCATACACAATATTGTCAGAAAGTAAGAGCGATAACTATTGTAAATCTGCAATTTATTGGTAATTTCCTAACATTTCCTCAACAAGTGTCTTAATAAGTAAGACTATAAAGCCAAAGTACCTAAAATTCAATAAAATAATAGATTACTTTGAATATTTTACTAAATTTTTAGGATTAATGAGCAGTTAAAAACATCATATAAAAAAGGCCCTCATATTATATTCAAGTAATTTTTACAGTTTTGTTCCCCAGAAAAAATATTCCCAAACATATGTCTATTGAGATAGATGTCAGTATCTCATATTTTCTATATTTTAAACTAAAAGTAATAATTGTTTCAATTTAGATTACTTAAACTTTAAATCAGTTAATCTTCATCAAATAAAATTTCAGAAATGTATATTTTATTTTTGAAAGTGTTTTTCTAATAAAAAGAATCATATTGTGTTGAGAGATTTGTTAATATGGCTAAATTTTTAAATTTTAACAAATTAAAAAAAAAAAAAAAAAAAAATTGTAATTAATTTAAATTCAGTTTGAAATACACCAAAGTATTTGGCTTATTGGAAATATTATAATTTAATCTATTAGCTTGAAATTAAAACAAAAATAAATACTTCAAGAAAAATATTTCATTTTTAAATGCATTTTAAACCTGATGTATCGTTTCCTTTGGAGGTGTAAATATATATATATATATATATTATAAATTAATTGATTTAAAATATGTTTTTTTTCGCTACACAGTTCCAACCATGTTTCAAAAATAGAAGCTAAAAACCCCCGATTTAATTTTGCAATTAAATTAAAAGCATTAGTTCCAATTTCATCTTCAAGCGAATTTTGGAGTAACTTTTAAAAATTACCGGGTTTTAAAGACACAGCTAAAATCACGTTTCCATGGTTACAGAATATTCTACTTAAATTGAACAAGGGATGTCTAGATAAATAGGGAACCCCAAACAAAAACAAAACACTATGAAAGTATAAAAATACATTTTTATAATAAAAATAATAGCAATAGATTTTTATATATAAGAAATTATCAACAATACCTACTTAGAGCAAAATGACTAACAATACCTATTCATAGCAACATGACTAACAATACCTATTCATAGCAACATGACTAACAATATCTTCTATCTGTAGTTGAAGGCATACAATTGCATTCAAAATACTTAGATTTCATCATTACATTACCTATACAAATTGATATGCCATTAAACAAAATCAACCAACCTGTGCAGAAAAGCAGCTCACTTGCATTGTCCCCTTTTGTATCCTGTTTACGACATGCCACCTCTAAAAAGCTAATTTTGTGTTTAAAATCACATTGGATATAAAATAATAATGTTTATTAAAGGTCTTATGAAGTCATTATAAAAATATATTTAAAAATATAAATAAAAATACAAAAACAGTTACCAAACTAATCTTTTAGTCCAGATCTTTTAGTTAAATAATTTAAACTGATTTACCTGTAGAAAGTTGACAGATTCCACATGTTTAATATTTCTTTAAAAACTTCTTAGTCAAAATTAGAGTGCATCCTTGAGGCCAATGTGTTTTCAACACTAGTAAATATGATAATTCACTTACAAACTAGTAGAAATCTCATGGCAAATGTTGTAGGGGTGCAAAAGGTGATTATCTCTCTTGGTTGAGACAAAAATTATGAGGGTCACGTCACAGCTAGTGAGTGATGTCAAGTTATAGAGTGACGAAAAATAGTTGCTACTAGCAGTAGAGCCCGGCGTTGCCCGGGGATGTAACAGTAAGAGATAGATCAAGTATCGACCATCATAAAGACTGAAAAATAAAATTGACAAAGATTATTCTTTAAGGCTGACGGACACGCATGTCTTAATTAGTTTTTTTTTTTGTTTTTTTTTACGAATTGGTCAAACTCAAACAAAAACGTTGTTTTCAATCGTTATTTTATTATAAACAATTGTCTTGTAAATGGAATTTTAAAGCATTCTGAATGTAAAAAATAAAGAAAAAAAAAGTGCAAGACAATAAGAAACACTACCTGCCAAAGAAAGTGAAGTTTTGTTGAAATCGGTTGAAAAATGTAGGAAATCCAATTCCATATATAAACGAACACACACACATGAGTTGTCCCCCTTTTATTCTTGCGATGCCTCTTAATCGTGTTTTCCAATTGATTTCATGCAAAAATAATTGTGTTTTCCAATTTTGGCACTGTCAGAACCACCGCAAGGTAATTTTACGTAGTCCTGTGAAGTTTTGTTTGAAATCGGTTGAAAAATGTAGGAAATCCGATCCAATATATAAACGTACAGACACACACACACACACAACCTGGGTTTTATAATAAGTATGATGTAGGACATGGAAAAGATGGATATCACAAAAATCATATTGTCTTACCTGACAAATAGATGACACTACCAGCATGCTCATTTTCACATTGGGAAAGATTACAAGTAAGACCCTCTCTCTTTTTTCCCCCTTTCACACTGCTTCTTGTATACATATGTTATAATTTCTCTGTGTGTAGAACAAATGAATAACAAATATGTATATATCTGAATAAAAACTCTGAGAACCATGCATGTTTGTCATGCCTTTCTTTCAGCTATTCATATATAAAGAGTCTGCCAAAAAAAAGTGTATACACACTTCAGGAAAGGAAAAACTTGTCTTTCATACTTTTATCAAATTGCAATAACACTGTTCACTGTAATACAATATTTTTCTGATTTTACCTATGGAAAACTGACAACATTGGCGGCCCATTAGAAAAGAAATTAAAAATGCATGTGCAGCAATTCCACTGGACACTTTGGCCAACGTTGCCCAAGCAGTAGTTGGCCATACTAATAAATGTTTGTAAGCAAAAGGCCACCATTTTGAGCAAAACTTGTGATTGTAGAGTCCAAAGGTCTTTTCTACAAATATTTTCATGGCAACTGTTTTGATGAGTTTTTTTTCCCTGTTGGCCTGACTACATGAATTTAAACGTGCAACTAGATTGGCACCTAGGTCCCACCCTCTTACTGTTGAAATAGTTAAATGTAACCGCCACTTCTACTCCAACAGTTTCTTTTCTCACATTTCCTGATAGTGGAACTCTTTTTACTTGCTTCCTTGAAAACTACAATATTCAAAAATTTAAATGTAATGTCAATCACCATCTTCTGTCGTCTTGAACTCTTTTCAACTTTTATCCTTTCCTCAACCCCCTATATCCAGTCTTTTCTCTCACTTTCACTCTCTGTAATCCCCTGCATACTAGTGGCATTCGCACCTTGCTTGGAGTGAAATGATTGAAAAAGGAAAAAATAAAGTTTTTCATTTCCTGAAATGCATACATTTTTTGGCAGACTCTGTATTCATGCCTATAATAGTGAAATGCAAATGGGAATGTTCTTTCTGTCATAGGACCCCCCATTAACATAAAATGTTTACTCTTTTCCTCTTCCGCAGAATTTTGTTAGTTCAAACATGATGTCCCAGTTCATTTTGCTTCTCATCTGGTTATCCTTCTTCGAAAGGGTGAGTGGTCACAAGTTCAAACGCTTTGACAAATGTGGTCGAAACAGCCGACCGAAAAACCCTTATTCCACTGGGCATGCTTTCAGCAACATTGAATGCATTGATCAGTGTTTGGATGACAAAGGTTGCATGGTTGTCACATCATGCATCCAGGATGGAACATGTTGGAGGACTTGCGAGAAAAGCAACAATATGACCAGTTTGCAAGACTGTAACAACCACGAGATGAACGAGAAATGTTCAACATGGGAAATGGTAAGTAATGGCTCAGTTGGTAAAGATGTTGGCAGGCAGCACCTGCTACAATTGATAAGTAGAGGTCAGTGAGGTTTGAAATTCAATAAAATCCCTTACCAATGTCCCCCCCCCCAATTAACACTATACAATGATTCTCTGTATGTGTGGATATCATTACAGTTATAGGGGAAAATATCTTTAAAAAGTCTCTCTCTCTCTCACACACACACACACAAAAACAAAACATTTGGAAAAATTTCAAGTGTAAGAGGCAAGTGAGTTGACCAGCAAGAAAATATGTGAAGAATTTGGTGTTGCCAGTGTAAACAAGAAAGGATGTACAATATTACAAACATTTGACTTTAGTAAACATTCCCAATACCTTTGGGAAAGGTATGAATCCTCTTCTTCTCCCTCCAGAAAAAAAAGCAACCTAGTGCAGGAAAAAATCTGCCTCGTCAGTCATGTATCAAAAGATACATGATCACCTAAGCATGTGTCATGCATGGCACATAATATTATCTGCATAATTTATGCTGTTAATATTATGGCCACCAATAATAAACTCTGGAGGTTCTATGAGGATTGTCTTATTGGACAGATTAAATAAATCTGATGAGAAAATGCATCTTTGTCTTACTCCAGTTCTATTTTTCTATATTTAATTTGTTCCCTATCTGGATGCATGCAATTTCTTCCTAATAAATATTCAGATTATTCTAATATCATTCCATATAAGTGTTGAGCTTACCTAGCAGTTCAAATAGGTTTTAGTGTAATATTTTAGATATAATATTGTTCTGAATTTCTCAAATGAAGCATTATTATTACTAAATTTTGACAAGTTTTTTTTTTTTTTATATTACTTTTGTTGCTCATGTTGTAGCAGACATAATAGTATTCTAAAATTGTCCAAATTTCTTAGTTGAATTATTATTGTTATTAGTTTTGGAGAAGCTTTTCATCTTCTTTCATAGATTTTCTTTTTAACTCTCAATTCATTTTCAACCATTAAGCAAGCAGCTGGGACCAAAAATATAAAATATATTTACAAAGAGATTTGAACTTAAATCCCTTGACTTTCTTCACTTGATAACCCCTTACTAATTGACCTATGAAACCTAAACTGCAAACATCATTCAAATGTAATCATATTGCTCTGCTTTTTTCTTCTAATTTTGCTTCTATGCCATTTTTGTGTATACTAATAGTATTAGATGTAATAGTCTTAAGCTGTTAGAAGTATATTTTTGAGTCTATGTAGCTCACTTAATGGACGTATAATAAATATAAAAATGGCCTTATAGTGGGGGGGATAAATTCAACAGAATAAAAGGAAAGACTAATCAAAAATAAATAATAACAATGCTTCATCATAGTAATTTAGACAATAATATTACTGCGAGACATGCAGAAGACAAGTTTAAAATTACTGATGAGGCTTCATTACATCCGCTACTACTACAACAACATGGGCAATAAAAACAATTTTAAAAAAATGAACAGAAAATTTAAACAATTTATGATATGTCTATTCTCACTAAATAAAGTTGGTTGATTTTATGTCACCCTTATTAGATTATTTGATATCGAAATTTGTAAGGAGCACCCAGTGAGGACTGAACTCACTAGTAGTAAGTGAAGGATATGGATCAGTAGTAATAGTTGAATCCATTACATTCATTTATGTGCTAATACTCTTGGGAAAGGTATGAATCCCCACCCTAGCTATGGGTAAATAGAAGGACAAACTGGGTTCTATAGCCTTGGAAGGCAACTGGTCTACCACAGAAAGAAATGGCAACCTACTGCAGGAAAAAAAATTTGCCTCGTCAGTCATGTATCTAAAGATATACAAAAGATACATGGTCGCCTAAGCATGTATCACACATGACACATAACTGAACTGACTGTAATATCAGAAATTAGGTAGACTGATAAGTATATGAAAACTGATTTGAAAATAATTTTTAGTGATGATTGGATAGCTATATTTGATGAACCAGATGGCGGAGTTCAACAACCTTTGTGTCCACAAAAAAACGGAAGTGTTTTTCTCTTGACATGCTATTATTTTAACTACTTTCACTCTTTGATAATGTTTATTTTTTTAAAAGCAATGATTAAAATTGTAATAAAATCTAAACTTACAATGAAAGTGAATTTATACATTTGTTTAAATCTACAATAAGAATATTAAACACTATCAGATTGTTTAATTACAAAAATAATCTTATATATAAAACTTTCTAAAAAAAAAAACAATACAATTAAAACAATTGCTATGCAATATTTATCATTTACCAATTTGTAAAGAAATAAATATGAAAACAATTTTTTATTCATAAATTTATAAACATTTACTAACTTATAAAAATATGTGAACCAATTATAAGGAAATCCTTATTATTTACCATTTTATATATTTTGTATCAGTTGGCAAAACAACAGTTAATTGTTAACTGATTAGCCAATGTTTTTGTTTTTAAGCGTTTCACCCCAAGCAAGGCGAGAAGCCACTAGGATGCAAGGGGTTACAGAAAATTTGGAGCAAGATCAGATAGGAGTGATACAGGAAAAGATGAGAGGAAGGATAGTGGATAGATCAAGGCAACTGGAAATGTCGATTGACATTACATTTGAATAGTTGGAGATTATAGCTCTCAGGGAAACTGGAATAGGGAAGGGAGTTCCACAAGCGAGAGGTGCGAGACAGGAAGCTATTGGAGTAGAAAAGACGGCTACATTTAGGAGTTTCGACAGTGAAAGGGTGAGAGCGGGATGCCAGCCTCATAGGGCGCTTGAACTCATGAAGTCTGGGAACCAGCGAATGCAGCTCCTCAGAGCAATTTCCATGAAAGTATTTGTAAAAATGACAGAGGCGACGACGCATATGTGAGAGAGTGACTGTAGACAAGATGCCAGAACAGGGCCAATTATATTGCATATCCGCCTCTGGAGCCTATCAAGAAACCTGAGGCAAACAGAAGGGGATCCAGACCATATATGGCAGCAATACTCCATGCAAAGGCAAATTGTTGATTTTTAGATCTGGAGGATCGATTCCAGGGAGAAAAATTTCCTGCCACAGGGAGCCAACTTTCCTTGCGGTGGACGAAGCAATTGACTCAATGTATTTGTTCCATCTCAGGTCAGCAGTCAACATGAGACCAAGCAGCCACAGAGAGTTGCTCTCAAGAAGTTGAGCGTCAGACATTCTAATGGAGGGCAGGGAAGGATCTCTGTGGTGATTAATAGAGAGCAGTTTTGTTTTTGTCAACCTTCCAATAAATAATATAATAAATAGTGTAAATAAACAATCTAATAAATAAATAATGTTTAATATTTTTGTTTTCAATTCTCAAGAACAAAAAACTATGTATAAATTCACCTTAATTGGTTTGGTTTAGTTTGTTTTGTTTTACAGCATATCAACCTCAATGAGTTATTTAATGCTGACAAGATTTTTTTTTTTTTTTTTTATTGCTGGTAATATTTATTTTTTTCAAAAATGTATTGCTGGTAATATTTATTTTTCAAAAATTTATTGCTGGTAATATTTTTTACAAAGTATTTCTGGTATTAAAACCTATTTTTACACATTCATACTGTTTAACCCCAGTTTGTGGGTTAACTATTTGCTCATAGCTGGGACCCTAAAAGATGCTACCACCTCGGGACAGGATGGACCTGGGAATACCAGCAATTAAGAGGTGGTTCTACGCTCCTCAAAACCTTCTGATCAGAGGCCTTGCTGTTGGACATAGTTTATCGTCTTACCCAGGACGTGGATGTAGTTTATTGTCATACCCAAGACAACTCTTTTTTTTGTGGGTATGAAAGTCCAAGTTTGGTGTTTCATAGAAATAGTCAACGCAACTTAAAACAATAAAATTTTAGCTTGCTTCAAAATCGTGTTTTCAGATAAATACTGAGAATCATTACCAATTCTTGGTCAGGCCATTCTTTGAGTGGTTGAGATCACAACTAAGAAACTGTCATATAAGACATAAATGAATGGAATCACCCATTTATCTAAATAAGTGGAGTGGGGGAGAGTTAGGCACTGTCATTTGAATCTTTTAAGAGAAGGTATCAGCTAGCTGGTCACTCCTGGAGAAGTAAATCAGAATTTGTGAGTGACACCTTCCTATGGAACCCATCGGTTGGAAGACCTCATCACACCTACATTGACCAACTTGTAGATGACTCTGGATGCCATCTGGTGGACCTGCTGACAGCGATGTCTGACAGAGATGGTTGGAAGGAACAAGTTCGGAGAATCTGAGAAGAATTCTTGACCTGATATATAAGGAGAGTTAGCATTAGGTCAATTGCTAAGTGTACCTCTTGTGTAGTAAACCTTCTATTTTTATTATTTACCTACGAGTTTGTCTTCCTTAATTATTTCTCTCTGTTATCTCAAAAATACGAGATACAACTGAAACTAAACTAAAGAATTTCTTCAGGCAAGACAATGCTTTTTTATATTCTGCAAAGTTGTCAAAAAAAGTTCCCAAAACATCAAATTAATGTAAATATTCCTCAATCTCTTCAGAGATGTAATAGAAAACTTATCGTCTATCATAAAAACAGTATATATGAGGATGGAAACAGTATTCAGGTAAAGAAGATCTTGCAAGTAGGAAGTGTTCATTATGCTAAATTTCTAAGTGGGGCAGAGTGGTTTGTCTGCTTGCCTTGAAAATCAGCATTAGAAATCCTATTTTTAAGCTGGACTTGAAGACTGATATCTAGGACCAGTGACAAATGTTCAACTATTCTATCCGCAATGCAGATTATGCATATGAATATTTAAATAAATAAAAATACAACAAAGAAAATCTACCTTTCTCTCTGGTGGAGAATCTTGAATAATCTAACGCCATCAGCTACACTTTGATCAGAGCTGTTTCTGCATCATTTTCAATGTGCACTTGATGAACTTTATTACTAACACTAAAGTTTTTAAGATTGCAAGAGTAAGAAGGATGAAGTCCATGCTAAATAAAATATACTGAATAAGTCACATGTTGGGAGACAGAAAAGCATCATTGAAGTAAAAAGTCTCCTAAATAAAAAATAAAAAAGGTTGACTTCCAGTTCCATTGACTACTGCAAATACACCACCACACGATGCCATTAGGAAAATATGACATCTCTCTCTTTCTCTCATTCACACACAGAGTGATTCTTATTTTTATTATTGTGTCCTACAATGTCAGAGGCTGTAGAGATTTGAATCTTCCCACCAACAATTCATTTTTGTTTTGCCTTGTTGCAGTAATCTGGTAAAATAGTGTCTAATATAAAACTAAATACAAAGCAAAATGGTATCCATATAGAAAAATGGTGTCCACTGATATTAACTAACACTTATTAAACTTGACAAAGAGTAAAGAATTGATGTGAGCACAGTGAGGTGGTCAGTAAAAGGCTTCTAAATTATTTTAAAATATTTTGACAAATTAGCCTTATTCAAGACTGAATGTATTTCCAGCTTTTGCTAGTTTTAAGATGGCTCAGAACTTAATTTCAATTTGTGAGATATCTTTCAAAACTAATTCCTCCCTCACAAAACATATTATGACAGGATTGCTAACAGGAAATATCGCAGTAGAAGCATTTTACACCTGTTTTTTCAGGTTTTTTGGTCTTTCCCATATAAAATATCATAAATAGAACTGTTTTAGCAAATATGCTGTTGCCCAAATTAAATCCATCTATTCCTCTCACTACAAACTCAACCTCTTGCAATATTACCACCAGTCTAGTAGTCTGCATAAATTGATAAGGTCTAGGTTACCATAATGAAGAGTTTATCTGGACAATTATCATGAAAGTATTGATAAAAAAGGCACAGGTAAATAATATTATGGTGGTTGGAAAGTGACTGAAGCCGAGATACCAGATCAGGACCAATAATATTGCTGATTTTTCTTTGGATTTATCAAGAATCTTTAGATATACAGCAGGAACATCAGACTATATAAAGCAACAATATTCAAAGCATTGATGAATGATAGACTTATAAATATGTCAGATACATTCAGGAGATAAAAATTATCTAGCATGACACAGTGAACCAACATTCTTAGTGGCAGATCTAGCAATGGATTCAATGTAATCTTTCCCCTTCATGTCAGCCAAGAATGTTAGCCCAAGAAGGTGTAATGAATCACTCTCGTGGTGGTTAGTATCAGCCATACTGATGGGAAGCAGGAAGGGGTCAGATGAAAAGAAATATTAAATGAAAATCAAAGGAAATTTAATGAAAAATGTATGGTGTTTGCACTTCAAACCACGAGAAGCACTTAATTGGTGGGGGGGGGGAGCAGTCAAAACGTTGGTTGGTTGTTTTTGTTCAGTGGCATATCAACAGCTCTATGGGTTATTTAATGTCAAAATCTAAATATTTTGTATGCAATTTTATTTTAATTTTGGAGATAATAATGGTTTTAATGATACAAGTCTTAGTAATTTACTCATAACTAGGGGGAGGATCGGTGGATTCATACCTTTCCCCCCGGGGGGGTATTTACATGTAAATACACAATTGGAATTGGAAATTGACTTTCTGATTTCCAATTCTGAGCCATTATCCATTACACCATCTACATATCCAAGGTTACAAAACATTGTATTCCTAAGAAGTTACCCATCTATGTATTGAACAAGCTATGTTGCTTAACATCGGTGACTGTATAGGAACTGGTATTTCAATGTAACACGGCTGTAAACCTGAGGCAAAACGTCAACAGGTTATAATAAAAAATATAAAAGAATATAAGTAGAAATGCATTAATAGTGTTTGAAATTGCTCAAAAACTGTTGTGCAATGACTCGAGAAATCTGAAATTGTTCTCATGGAAACTATTGCTAGATTGGTGATGACCAACCTGTATTAAACAGGTCTGTAAACAACCACAAGTGTTTGACCAGTCAGTCCTAGCTGGTCTGTCCAAAAAGATTAAAGAGGTTTTAATTTACTTAAAAATGTTTGATTAAAAATATTTACCTATATATATTTTTTTTTTTTTTTTATTATCTTTCACAGATTGACCCTTGTCTTAATGGGGGCACATTGATCAACAATATCTGTGTCTGTCCTTTACCCTACAAAGGGGTTAGATGTCAGTTTTATCAACCTGGTAAGTGTCCTTACTGTTGCATTGTGCGTTGTCTATGGATTCCCAGTGATTTATTGGCAATTCTTTGGTAGAGATCTCAACATTACATCACAGACTGAATGAATAAGGAACTGATTTTTTTTAAACTCACTGTATTGCAGTGAAAATATAGTGGCATCTTTTTAGGGTAAAGCGAGAGAAATAGGAGAAAGGCTACTAACAGGTTAGCCAACAATTCATCAGCATGTGTCGACTGAACCCACATGGAGCCAAAGAATCTGTATGCAAGAGAGGTTTTCATTCCTCTATTGCTGCAACATTACTAACCGTTTTCACACAATTTCAATCTTTAATTAAAAACTTATAGATAATCCACCACTCTCAATATTCAACAACCACAAAGTTCAAACAATCATCACTCATTTTGGGTAATCAGAGTTCTGACCAGTACATTAGGATTTGCCAGTAACATTTACTCTCATGAACACAATTCTTAAAAATCGTTTCACCTGTCTACCTTTGAAAAAAAAAAAAAAAACACCCAAAAAACGTGTTACAGTTAAATTTTTAACAAATAATAAACACGTGTTATCAGCAGAAAAAAAATACTGCTGACATTAACCTAAATGATTTCAGCTACCTCCATCTTATATAGATTTTGTTTCAAGAAAAAATTTCCCATATGATTTGCAAACATTAAAAATTCTTTCAAAAGAAAGTCAATCTTAAGTAAATCTTTAGACATGTTAAGATGTGAATGCTATTTTCCTCCAACTATCTGAATATAAAGCATTCCAAGGAGACATTTCATTACCCAGAATGTCATAAAGTGAAAAGGTAATTACTATTAATTTTCATGGGAACATCTTTTGAGCATTCCCAGACATCTATTTCCTAAATGAATAAATTTGCTTGAGATTATTTACACTATTTACATTTGGACTATTGTCTTCATCTTTGTTTTTTTTATCACAATGTTTCATTTGTTGTGACCTCTGGCCTTCATCAAGTGTATCTTGATCTGGGTAACTTACAGGGAGTTCTGAACTGAACCCTTTATTTAATCTATGAGGGGTAAACTATTCTCATCCCACTGCCCATGTCTAGGGATATCTCATCTCATTCCTATTTTCAGTACTGCTTAGTGATAGCCCATTTCTACTGAGTTCAATTGCACACTGCCTGGCCCTGCGACTGAACTTGAGATTACTGTCACCAAATTCACAAACCAAAGCTTAAATCCACTAGATTATTGTCCTGTGAACTTGAAACTTTAACCTTAATCTGCCTGCTGATGAGTGCTGCTGCTGAAGACTTACTGTCATTTGTCTTTCTTACTTTATTAGTGACTTCCATGTTATATTTATTTCTATACTAGGCCTACTAAAGAGATCCTCATAGGTGAATCTATATGCTGATTCTTTCAGACATCTAACTCTCTAGTGTTCAGCCAGTATTTTCACTTCATTCCATAGGGGCTGATGGCTACTCTTTTCCTTCAATATATGATCAGCAATGCCTGATTTCATTGTTTCACTCCCACACTACAGCTTTTTGATGTTCCTCCAGCCTTAATTTTAAGGATTGACTTTTTTCCCTTTATATTCTTAGCCATAACTGTAAGGAATTGAGTACACACTGTTCTTGGTTGTGTTAGTCTTTGCTCGGCAGAGATTTCTCTATAGAGTGGAGCTTGTTCTGAATATTGTCCTGTAGCAGCAGATTTGAATCTTTTCCAATAAGCCCTTGACATAAGGTAGACCACGGCAATTTTCTGGTCTTCCTCCTTGACCTTTCTGTTTCCACCTGCAGATGCAGGACATTTGTTATTCTCTATGATGTTCTTGATGCTGATCTTTTCTTGTTGACTTCTTTGCCTCTCATCATTTTTGCCCAGTGTTGTAGATATGATACATTTCTACACACTATATTGAAGTAGGTGAGAACAGAAGTTTAGGTATTGTCTGGTAAAAGCTGGTTTGGTTTACAGCATATCAACCTCAATGTGTCATTTAATGCCGACAACTATTTTCTGTTCTGGTAATATTTTTGTTTTGTCAAAAATCTATTTCTGTTAATATTTTTTCTCAAAATTGTATAGCTGGTAATATTATTTTTTCAAAAAAATGTATAGCTGGTATGTAGTATATCATCATACCCAGGATGTCTGTTAAAAGCTGGTTTATGATATACAGATGTTTTGAACTGATTCTCTGTAAGAGTTATTAGTACATCCATGAAGACGAGCTGATTATTTCCTTCTTCCATTATGAACTGTATCAAAGGTCTTATTTTCACATGGTTCAGTAGTATTTGTACCCAGAGTATGAAGGTGTCATCTAATTATCTTAGTCACACTGTGGGCTTTCTTTAGCGGTGTTGTTCTTAAAGCCATTGTAAATTGAGTAAATAATGATAATTGCAGAAATTCAGACAGAAATCTGATGAGATTTTTGCTACAATCGACAATGATGAAATGATTGCTGAAAAATATTGCTTTAAATTTGAAAGGGTACATATACTGAGGATAGGTTTGCAAGAAATTGAGAGTCTACAATATTCTGGGAATGCCCTTCCCACCAGAAGAAAAATCAATTTAAATTGATAATAATTGCTTCATTGATTTATATTTCAGATAATGGGAAAACTTTTATCAATGTTGGCACTGTATTAAGTAAACTTTCAAAAAGCAAATGGAGAAAAACAATGGATAGGAGGTCGTGGAGAGTCATGATCGTCCATGTCCTGAAGGAACATGGCACATAGAAGAAGTGCATTAAAAAAGAAGGAAAATTGTTTGGACAATGCATATGGATTCCTAATGGCAGGGATCTTCAGGTCAGAATGTGTAAGGGAAATGCTTTAGAATTTTGAGAAGGTGGTAATGTTTTTATCAGATAGTATGGATAAAAATCATTTTTTGTTTGTATTGCCAAGTAGATTTTTTTTCTCTCTTAGTTCGTATATTGCATTGTACTACAATCATGGCAGACGCCTGCCATAAGGATGTGAAATACCTTTTTCAAACAAGTTTTTTTTTTTTACTTTGTCCGAGTATCTACACACACACTATATATATATAAGTAGATATTGTTAACAAAATCGAAATTATGGAACAATCAGTCTTAAACCTGAAAATTGCATTGTGCATTGTACCTGAAAATTGCATTGTGCATGAAACTGAGTCATGCTACCAGTGACAAAAAATATTTATATATATTGTTGCAGCATACCTACAGACAATAATGGGTATGTCCCCATTCATATAAATACAGTAGTAAATACTGTATATTGGTCTTCAGTTGGAGATTCATTGTGGAATTCACTTGACTCATGTCTAGCAGTTGACTACATCTTCTATGTGCTGCTGGCGAATCTTATATGTGTTGTTCGTGTCCTAAGTATTATCATTCATTACCAACATTCATTTGATTATTCTATTCAGTAACCTTCCCTGAGTTACAACACACACACACGTGACTGTGTGTGTGTGTGTGTTCACTGAATAATGTAGTCATATTATGTATATTTATATACTGATCCTTTCCAGTTCTAGATGTCTTACACTTCATTTGTCAGATACAAGTTCTGCTGCACAACATTTAAAAACATATTACTGTCCACTTTCACAATACAAGAAAATACTTGTTAACAATATTAATATACTACACAATGAAAATATTAAAGAAAAACTTCAAATTCTTGAGGGTCTCTATATTAAAATCAATGAATCAACACCCAACAAAATTTATTATGAGTGTAGCAGTAACATGTCAAAGCACATATAACAAACATTCAATGCTATTTTGCATTTTTACCAATTCCCAGTCATCTCCCTTATATTGAAAAACTTGTTTTACAAAAAGTTTCATAACTACAATGGATAAATTTAAAAATAATTATAACAGATTGTGTTCATGCATGTTTTTTAAAATATCACCATCAAAAGGAAATGCAGATTCTATCACAATTACAATAAGTTTGTCTTTGTAATTTACCCCAAGGTTGATCTTAGAGGAGATCGAATGAACTTGGGTAGGAAAAACTATAGCATCTTCATTGATGAATTTCATTTTATCAGGAAACTGATTAGAGAACTGGAAAGGATTATTATAAGAATAGACATAATATATATATATATATATATATATATATGTGTGTGCATGTATGTATGTTTTGATGCATTTTCCAACTGGGCTAATTGTTTAATAATTTGTATTTTTAGTTTCCTGCTTAGAAATTTGTCAGATGTCTCTGAATAAAAACCAGACGGTTGTCAGCCAGATGTATTTTTTGTATACCTCAACCCAGAAGCGAATTGAGGTGTTCTGCGACTTCAAAAATGAAACATTCGGGACCATGTTTATCCCAAGGTCCTCTCTTTTTCAACTTACACAATCTGAATTCAAGGAATTTGTACCAGACAGCAAGGAATTCATCTTTCGAGAGAGACTGGATAATCAAGAAGAGAATGAGGCTATTATTAGTACACTGCCAAGGTTGGTCGATTATAATTTTTTCTAGAAAAAAAAAACAAGTGCTATTTCTAATTTTTATTTATTTTGATAATGTTTTTTTTTATTCTTAGATGAAATCCCATTAGAATTTTCTTTCTTCCTTGATTAGTTACCATATACAGCATGTTCTGCCATTATCTCAGATAAACAATGGGCCACTCCTGTTTGATTGTGAGGATAGAATTCTAATAGCTTGCCAGGAAGAAAATATAGATAAAAGGCACTGTTTGGTTTTAGGGAAAGAAAGAGCAGAAGAGTGAAAGAATCAAAGACATAAAAAATAGAGGTAGCAATAACAGTTGTTGGTTTAACACCTGCTTCAGTGAAGTGGAAAACTTTGCAAATTTTGAAGATTTTCATTTGTACCCTCTTACTTCTTTATAGAATGACCTGCATTCATATTTATGGGTTTTCTTGTAATATTTTGTTAAAGGTCTTAATCTGAAATATTTAACAATGCAGGAGGTGGATTTCTTTGCATACATTGTAGCCATGGAACTCACAAGGTGCTTATTCAGTCATTAACTTCGGAATTAAGAGTCATCAGAAAATTCAAAAAGGAAAACTGTGAAATTTTCTTATGCATTGCTAGTTTTCATTATTCTACCGAATATTTAAATTAATGTCTTCATTGTTTTAGTTGGATGCTGCTTTTCCTCATGGAAAAGCAGGATTACATATGGTAACCTATAATACATGACTAATCTTTGTTGTGGAGATAAGTGAGTAAATAGAAAGAGTATATATATATACTTTTAAATGACTATCACCTAAACATGGCAAGAAAGCATGCCAATTGTAATATAGTAATTAAAACAAAAAAAGTGACATTTAAATGATTAAACTGAGAATCTTTTTTTCATATTGAGTTTTACCACCACCCCAAGCAATTGTAACATTATTTTATTTATTGGAATTGTTCCTATTTCAAACTTTTATATTTTTGTTTATATTTCTGAGATGAGGTATTATGTACATTATTTACATTATTCAGACTATTGTTCTCATCTTTGTCGCCATATTTATCACAGTGAGCGAAATAAAGGGTTCGGTTTGAAATTCCAACCACCTGAAGAAGGCCGGAGTGTACAACGGCCGAAACATTGTGATAAATATGGTGACAAAGATGAGGACAATAGTCCGAATAATGTAAATAATGTTTTATATTTTTAATTTCTAACTACCAGAGGTACCCCACATTATTTGGGAGCTAATTTCTTTTCTAGACAAATACTTCATTTGTGTAGATTATTAAAATGATTAGAAGTAAACATGCCTTAATTTACTGCCAAAAGGTAATTTATCTTCCTATATCTTTAAATAGTAATGTAATGGCTGGCTGCCTGTATCTAACTATGCCTGTCTGCTAGGGCAGCTAGCCAATCCCTATTGCAGACGCCTGCTCAGGCACATTATATAGATTATGTGAATTACACTGCAACTGTGCTAAGCAGAGCTTAGATACAGCTTCTAGGAGAGTGCACATTATCTGGCATCATCAACAGTTTCAACAAAGCCAGTATGATCAAACCCTCTGTCACAATGGCTTGAGTCTTCCTGCTAGCTCAACCACCAATGGCTCCCAAATAGTTCCATCTACCCTATTTCCCTTGCAAGGTTTGAGTCGACCTGTGGTATGTTTTTTAGGTCCTTTTCAAAGGTGCCATATGCTGGGATCACCTCTACAGATCAATAACATCAAGAAGTCACCTTCCAGACAAATCAACCATTGTCAGATTCGGACCTCAGTTTCATGGTCGGAAAATGAGTGTTCTAACTACTTGGCTACATAGCCATTTTATCTTTAAATATAGTGGCAGGGAATAAATATTTAACTTCAATAAGAAATGTCTTCCTTGACCTTATTACTGACCTTTCATAACCATCAAAGTTGACCTGAGGTCAAAGCCTTCTAAATTTGATCAAGATCTATCCAGTAGTTCCTGAGTCTATAGCAGCAGTGACATGAAGAAGGTTTGATGATGCCCAGGGTGAACTCCTTGATTGTATGCCCCCTAAGACACAAATGGGGGTCAGGCTATGGGTCCTAGTACTGAGAAATGTGAGAAAGAAAGACATTTTAAATATGTAAAAACTGATGAAACATGAAATAAACACTTTATTCAAATTAAATATAAACTAAATTTTTTATTTCACTCTTTGATTGGATGCCCTCCCGATATGAATGCCTGGGGACATCACACCCACTGCCTCCATTTCCACATGCTAGCAGACAGGCTCTTTACTGTATTTGTACAGATATGCTATATAATAATAGAAGCCAGTTTAACCATACATTTAAAGGGATTATTCATATGAAAAGAGTGTTGTTTAATAGTGTAATATTGAAGATGAAATTGCAGTATTATTGTTTGTTTATTTGGCTGTACAAGGTTCTATCCCTGACTTATATTACCAGAGTCAGGGAATGGGTTAAACTGTGTCCTGGGTATGACAATAAACTACATCCAGCAGCAAGGCCTCTGATCAGGAGATTGGAGGTTTTTGAGGAGCATGGAACCATCTCTTAATTGCTGCTGTTGTCAGGTCTACTCTTACCTGGGTGGTAGCTTAGGGTCCTAGCTATGGGCAAAGAGTTAACCCCCACCCCAAACTGGAGTTGGGGTACTATAAAAGTATAAAAATAGATTTTATAGTAAAATTACAAGCAATACATTTTTGAAAAAAAAATTACCAGCAATACTGAAGTGACTCTTTTACATCGGAAGTCATCAAAGACTATAAATAGTTATGGCTATTACCCATGGGTAGTTGAGTGCATACTACTTCCTGTGAGTTAGTAACACTATACTACAACAGTGTTGCTGACATTTAAAGAACTGAATGAAGAATTATCATTGGATAATTATGAATACACACAAGTGTGGCTTAGGATACTAGCAGCTAAAATTAGAAAAAAAAAGTTAAAGTATTTAAAATTAGATGTGGGGAGAAAACCAGATAACTGATCTCTTCTTGGCAATTGCTGATTGTGAGGCTATTATAAAATTTTCAGCAATTGCAGGCTGAATACAGGTATGCAATTACTGATAATTTTATAATAGCTTGGTGAAAAATGACATTTGGTGATTATAGCTGTCAGAAATGATATTTGGGGATAATAGCTGTCGGAAATGATATTTGGTGATATAACTAATAGCGAAAAACATTAGAGAAAAGGCTAGTGGATGCAGAGAGTTCATGAACAGTTGTCAAAAAGTTAATGAACCAGTTATTGAACATGTTCTTCATTTGAAACAGGCCACTAAATATTGCCAATTTGAGAAACTGTGATCAGAAAACCAGTCAGTCGAAGAGGATTTGATCCAAATGAAATTAGTAAATGGCCTTCAAAAGTAGGAGTATCAGCAAATGCATTTACAACTGTGAAAGTTATCGCTAGAACAATATGTCGAATTTGTTCAGCAACAAGAATTAATTGGAAAATTCAATAAGACAAAAATTACAGATCTTGTAGAGGAAATGAACACATACATGATAAAAAAAGACAGAATAATGTGTACTTTTTGTGGTTATCAACAACAAAAATGTCCAGCATATAAAAAATGATGTGAAAAGTGTTTCAAAATTAATCATTTTAAATGTATGTGTAAATACAAAATGAGAAATGTAGAGACGGCCCAACAAAATGAAGAGGAAATAAATATGGACATCTTTTCATTGAAAAAAAAAAAAAAAAATAAAAAAGGGTTATTAAAAATCTGAATCAATAATGTTTTATTTGACATGTAACTAAATACAAGAAATGACGTGATGTTGATACCCAGAAATTAGGAAAACCAAGATAAAAGAAAAGCCTTGTCCAATTGAATCAGTTCAACAGATCCATGATAAAAATGTTAGGCTATTTTGAAGCCTATATGGAACTAAAAAATAAGTTTGACATATTACCAATTATCATGGCAAACTGTGGAAAGAATCATGGTCTAATAGGAAATGATGTATTGAACATAAAGTAAACAAAGTTGAAACTGGAATGTTAAAAAACTATGAAGCAAAGTTAAATGAAAATGTTTTCCCCCCATATTTCGAAGCATGAAAAGTGCCAGTCCATCTACTATCAATAATTGTAGAATAACGAAAAAAAAACTGATATACAAACTGATTACATACAAAGAATACATATTCTATTCATATAAACCTATTGTAACCAATTGAAGTTGATATTCCATAAAACAAAATAAATCATGGGTCAAAATAAAAATGTATATTCCGATACTTTGGAATGCAGAGGAATATTGCAGAAAGTCTTGTTTGCTACAATAGGAAAGCCGTTCTCTAGAAAGTAATGATCAGATGTTATTCTTTTTTTAACAAGTTGATGGATTTGCTCATACTGCAAAACTCCTAAAAAGTGGCTTGAGAACAAATCCATTAAGCCTATGTATGGGCTTAGTCAGAGTTCAGATTTGAACTGGGTAGAGAATATTTAATCTCATATAAAATCTAAACAGTATTGAATTTTTTATAAGTTAAAACTTATAATGGTCAATGGCAATGTTTCTCAACCTTTTCAAGCAACAGCACACCTTGTATCAAATGAAAATATCATGGCACACTTAGCAAAATTTTTAAAGGATATACATTTAAATGTTATGAAATAAAACCATAGATTTTTAAAAAAAAGTAGAAAATTGCAATAAAACTGAGAAAGCCTTTTTAGCTAATGTGGAATATTCTTTTCATATTGAAATCCAAAATCTAGCAGTTGGTATCATTAAGGATTCATTTTGAGCCTTTAAAAAAATAAAAATACTTTTTAAAAATTGAATATTAAAGCAAAATATTTAAAATAACATCATTGATGAATAGTGAAAAAATTTAAAAAATAAGTTTAATACTTATTTATCCATTTATTCAAATACCAATGCTGTAGCATTACTACTTCCACACACACACACATATATATATATATATATATTCAGTGACAATATTTTGTGGCACACTCAAAGCAGACCTTA